GAGTCTGCGAGAGAAAAAAGCACATGGATGAATCTTTTGATCTGAGTCGAGTCTCTGGGAAAGGACGGCTCCAACGCCAGAATCCGAAGCATCGACCTCCAGGATGAACTGTTTGGAAGGGTCAGGCTGAATTAACACCGGTGCTCTGGAAAACAAAGATTTCAGTTTGTCAAAAGCAGACTGAGCTTCGGGAGTCCATTGAAAATTCCTCTTAACCGAAGTTAAAGAGGTCAGAGGTTGAGCCGTCTGGCTATAATTTCTAATGAAACGACGGTAAAAATTGGCGAATCCCAAAAACCTTTGAAGCTGTTTTCGAGTTTCAGGAATCGGCCAGTCCAATACCGCCTTTATCTTGTCCTCAGCAGGCTAAACCTGCCCGCCCTCGAGCACAAACCCCAAAAAGGTCACTGATGGTTGGTGGAACTCACATTTTTCTGCCTTGGCGAATAACTTGTTCTCCAGTAGCCTCTGTAACACCAGGCGGACATGTTTCTTGTGATCAGTTAAGTTCCGTGAATAAATGAGTATGTCGTCTATATAGACAAAGACAAACACATTTAAAAAGTCTCTGAGAACATCATTCACTAGTGCTTGAAAGCAGGCGGGGGCGTTTGTTAAACCAAAAGGCATCACCAGGTACTCGAACTGACCTAATGGTGTCTTGAAAGCAGTCTTCCATTCATCTCCTTCTCTGATTCTGAGGAGATGATATGCGTTTCTCAGATCCAGTTTGGTGAAGACTGTTGCCCCCTGAACAGGTTCAAAAGCTGAGGCTAGGAGAGGTAGAGGGTACTTATTCTTTATAGTGATTTGGTTCAACCCTCTGTAGTCAATGCATGGTCTTAATGAACCATCCTTCTTGCCAACAAAAAAGAAACCAGCACCCAAAGGAGAAGAGGACGGGCGAATAATTCCAGCAGCTAAAGACTCGTTAATATACTTCTCCATTGTCTCTCGTTCTGGCTTGGAGATGTTATATAAACGGCTGCTGGGTAACGGTGCTCCAGGTAACAACTCAATAGCACAGTCATATGGTCTATGTGGTGGAAGGGACGTAGCACTGACCTTACTGAAAACCGGGGCCAAGTCATGGTACTCAAAGGGAACTGAAGATAGGTCAGGAGAGTCCATCTCTCCCCCACCCCTAGGAGGCCCCACCACGGGGGCTGCCGACCGAAGACAAGTCTCATGACATGACGTAGACCATGCTTCCACGTGACGTTCAGTCCAATTAATGCGTGGATTGTGTTTCTCCAGCCATTCGAATCCAAGCACCAACGGGGAACATGCGGAGGGAATAACAAAAAATGTGATAGTTTCACGATGGTTACCTGAAAGGAGGAGCTCGAGGGGTTGGGTTTGATGAGTAACTTGGTGGAGATTTTTCCCATCAATGGCAGAGACACGGAGGGGTTGAGAAAGAGGAACAGTTTCAATCATCAATTGTTGAACGAGGTTAGAGTCTATGAGGTTCCGTTCACAGCCTGAGTCAATAAAGGCAGAAAAAGAGAGGTTCTGATTATTACAAAACAAGGTGGCAGGCAGCATCAATCGAGGAGATTTCTTAGAGTTGGTTTGGCCCGCCAGACTCCTCAGATCCTCTGGCGGGCCCTGCCTTTTGATTTAGCCGGGCAGGAAGCAATGAAATGTCCACTTTCACCACAATAGATGCAAAGTCTGCTCAAAAAACGTCTTTGTCTCTCCTCAGGAGTAAGCCGAGTGTGTCCCACCTGCATAGGTTCGACCTCCGTACCACCTGAATATGAAGCCTGAAAAGGCAGAGGGAGGGACTGGGCTTTTGGTCGGTCTGTGGGAGGAGAAGAAACAGTCACAATATTTGAGGCAGAAGTAGAGGCGTGAGACCCAGAACTTCTTAACTTAGAGCTGTTTCTGGCTCTAATTCTGTTATCCAATCTAATTGTTAGTTTAATTAGATCCTCAAGGGAGGCTGGTTCGTCGAGAGTTGCCAGTTCGTCTTTAATATTCTCATTTAAGGCCATGAAATAAGCTCCCTTCAGAGCACTTTTATTCCATCCGGAAGCTGCTGCCTTAACCCGGAAGTTGATCGAAAAATCAGCCACAGATGAATCTCCCTGCTTAATACTGAAAAGAGCACGAGAGTCAATTGTTTGATCAGTTTCCTGATTAAAAACCTGGGAGAATTCAGAAATGAAATCAGAGTATCGGCAGTTGAGACTTTCATCTGAGGGAAATCTGGCCTGGGCCCACTCCAAAGCTCTTCCTGTTAGTTGAGAGAGAATAAAGGTTATTTTCTTAAAGTCCGTCGAAAAGCTGTTTGGAGAGTTCTGGAACAATAATCTGCACTGAAATGAAAATCCTCTGCAATCCTTCATATTACCAGAGAATTTTTCAGGAAGGCTTGGGCGGAACTCTGATGACGTCACTGCTGGTGACCTCGGAGGGGGAACTGGACCCGGAAAAGGTTGCGCTGCCGGTGTGGCGTTAGCACTGTTCATGAAATTAGCATAGCTCTGAAGCTTTTGATTGTTAGTTTCCACAAGACAGTATAACTCACGGAGAGTCTGAGCTTGTCCATAAATTTGTGCATCTTGCTCCTCCAATCGACGGCGGATGTGTTCTGCTGGGCCTTGTGTTTGGCCGCAGTGTTCTGTCATGATCGGTACACGAATGTGACCCAATTATGCAGAACACCACGAGGCAGGAAACAGTTGAAAAGTTAACAGAGTTTATTGAATACAATCCAATGATAGTATGTTCTGGTTCTGGTCCTGGGCAAACGGGTTCACCGGAGTCTGTGAGGAAGACAGTTAGTAGCTGGGCTCTTAGCGGTTTGTCCTTTGATAGTCTCTGGTGTGTACCTTGTGGGTCCTTGAATGGATCTTGGAGAGGAAGGTTGTTGGAACTGGAGAGAGTCTGATTAGCTGAGTCCGTTAGCTGCTTCAGCGTCTTGCTTCTAGAAAGGTAGCAGACCTTGACTTTGGATTTCCAGCTCTTGGTCCAGAGCTGCAAGAGAATCCAGGGGAAGTCTTCAGGTTTGGCTCTGAGGGCAGGCTCGGCGGGTTAAGCTCTACCAGAGCTTCACGAAGGAAGATCAGGTTTTCCTGGAAAGACAGAGACAAGATTAGGATCCTGTCAGGATCTCAGAGCAAGCAAAGTTCACAGAGGTTCTGGGCTTAGGTGCTAACCAACTGGCTCAACACTGCGGCGTTGAGGCAAGGTCTGAAGACAGCTTAAGTAGAGGGTCCTCCTGATGATGGTAACGAGCAGCAGCTGTGCAGAGGGCTCTGCTCAGGAGGATCCACGGCGGACTCTGCTGGAGAAGAGAGGTACTTCTCCAGCTTCCAACAATTAGACACTGCCGCCGGTAATGCGGTAATTTATAAATGTTTTAAATCAGGATGGGTCCGGATTAGCCAGCAGGTGGGTCCGGATCCGGACCCGCATCCGCTGATCCATGACCTCTGGTCTAGAGAGTTTACTGTTGTTAGCATCACTGCTGTTTATGTGCTTCCCAGTGCTGATACAAAAGAGGCCATAAGTATTATCTCTCAGACTATATCTGAACTTTAATCTGCACACACAGAGGGTGTTTTTTCATCATTCCTGGGGATTTTAAACAGGCCAATTTGAAGACTCTTCTCCCTCATTTTGACATACGTGGATTTACTATAACATACAAGATGCATTCAAAGCAGCCCCAGGCCCCCACCTTGGCTCTTCAGACCACCTATGTGTTATACTAATCCCTGCATACACTAGTAATACAGCAGGCCTCATCTATAAATAGTTTTACTGTTATTAAAACCGATAATTCTGGTTCCTCTTTCTGTGAAACAGTAGGTACTCTGAACTCACATGTTCCCCTTTCTCTACTATTTACATGTGCTTTGTGAAAATGAGTTAATTAGCATGCTGTAAGAGCTGAAAGGCTTCATTCACTCTGCACAACAAAAAGATTTTCATATAGACACAAATGGTTCTAGAAATGCTTCGCCTGTGATAAGGAGGAAACACACAGTCGCTGGCAGTCAGGGGCGGTCTTACCATTAGGCAAACTTAGGCAGTTGCCTAGGGCCTATTTCCTTGGGGGGGCCCATAAAACTCCTTTTAGATGTATGGTTATTACAGCTATTACTTATTTGTGGACATTAATTATGGTTTTGATGAAATTCCTTTTGCTAAAATGCCATTAGAATGCTTATTATACTAAGTGTGTCTCGGGGCTCCCCCTTCAGTGTCCACCACAATGGACCAGTCCATTTGCTGCGTAAAGGTAGTGACTATGGCTGACATCGTCATCCTCACTGTGGCAGCGGCTAACACCAGCAGCAGCAGTCTCAGCGGTCAGTGTTGGGAACGTTACTTTGAAAAAGTAATTAGTTATAGTTACTAGTTGCTTTTCCCAAAAAGTAACTGAGTTACTAACTGAGTTACTCCACGTTAAAAGTAACTAGTTACAAGTAAAAGTAACTATTGTGATACTTTTGCGTTTCTCACCCCCATAACCCTCACCACCTGGCCCCCACCTTCTCGCCCTATGTTTCAAAAGCCAGCTGAATAGAGTGGACAACAAAGAGAAGTACCTGCAGAGAGTTTTGCATTTATTGCAACTCAACGTAAATTACATTAGTTGGGAACGGTATCTGTTGGGCTTCTAAACCCCGTCAGATAGCGTTCCCCCTGCTTAACATGGGGGGAACGCTATCTGATGCCGTGTAAATATCATCAGGCTGCATTACCTCTACTCATGGGTGTGACGTTTTTAACAGGGCATTCAGATCTGGTGAGTGTATGAAATTAATAACTGGGGATGTCTGATTCTGAAATTCCGTATGTTTGAGTTGTTGTAGATACTGCAACATCTATCTATCTATCTATACAGCAAGCTTCATCTATCAATAGTTTTACTGTTAGTAAAACTGATGATTCTGGTTCCTCTTTCTGTGAAACAGTAGCCACTCTGTACTTGCATGTTCCCCTTTCTCTACTATTTACATGTGTGTTGTGAAAATAAGTTAATTAGCATGCTGTAAGAGCTGAAAGGCTTCATTCACTCTGCACAGCCAAATTATTTTCATATAGACAGAAATGTTTCTACAAATGCTTCGCCTGTGATAAGGAGGAAACACACAGTCGCTGGCAGTTAGAAATGGATCACTCGGGAGATTCACAGAACCTGAAAACCTTTGCCTGTTCGATCTGTCTGGATCTACCAAAGGATCCGGTGACTATTCCATGTGGACACAACTACTGTATGGACTGCATTAAAACCCGCTGGGATGAAGAGGAAGAAGGGAAGAGTTGCCATTCTTGTCAGCAGACCTTCACACAGAGACCTGTCCTGGAGAAGAACACCATGTTAGCAGCTTTATTAGAACTGCTAAAGAAGACTGGGCTCCAAGCTGCTTCTGCTAATCACTGCTATGCTGGACCTGAAGATGTGGCCTGTGATTTCTGCACTGGAAGAAAACTGAAAGCCATCAAGTCCTGTTTAGTCTGTCTGGCTTCTTATTGTGAGAAACACCTTCAGCCTCATTATGATTCAGCCACATTTAAGAAACACAAGCTGGTGGAGCCCTCCAAGAACCTCCAGGAGAACATCTTCTGCACTGATCAGAAGTGTATCTGCAGTCTCAATTTAATGGATGAACATAAAAGCCAAGAGACAGTCCCATCTGCTGCTAAAATGAACAGAAGGCAGAGAGAGCTGGAGGAGATAGGGGGAAAAATCCAGAGGAGAATCCAGGACAGAGAGAAAGATGTGAAGCTGCTTCAACAGGAGGTGGAGGCCATCAATCACTCTGCTGATAAAACAGTGGAGGACAGTGAGAAGATCTTCACTGAGCTGATCCGTCTCATCCAGAAAAGAAGCTCTGATGTGAAGCAGCAGATCAGATCCCAGCAGGAAACTGAAGTGAGTCGAGTCAAAGAGCTTCAGGAGAAGCTGGAACAGGAGATCACTGAGCTGAAGAAGAAAGAAGCTGAGCTGAAGCAGCTCTTAAACACAGAGGATCACAACCAGTTTCTCCACAGCTACCCCTCACTGTCAGCACTCAGTGAGTCTACACACTCATCCAGCATCAATATCCGTCCTCTGAGACACTTTGAGGATGTGACAGCAGCTGTGTCAGAGGTCAGAGATAAACTGCAGGACATTATGAGAGACACATGGACAAACATCTGTCTAACAGTTACTGAAGTAGAGGTTTTACTGTCAGAACCAGAACCAAAGAGCAGAGCTGGATTTTTGAAATATTCCTGTGAAATAACATTGGATCCAGATACAGCACACACATATCTATTTTTATCAGAAGGAAACAGGAAAGTAACTGCCTTGGATCAGCACCAGACCTATCCCAGTCACCCAGATAGATTCTCCTCATGGTGGCAGGTCCTGAGTAAAGAGAGTTTGGCTGGCCGTTGTTACTGGGAGGTGGAGTGGAAAGGGAGAGGAGTCTATATAGCTGTTGCATCTAAGAAAATCAGCAGAGCAGGCTATGAGTGTGGATTTGGTCGTAACGACAAATCCTGGGCATTAAATTGTCACCAAAACAGTTACACCTTTTGGTTTAACAACACAGCCACCCCGATCTCAGTTCCTCAGTCTTCCAGGATAGGAGTGTACCTGGATCACTCAGCAGGTATTCTGTCTTTCTACAGCGTCTCTGAAACCATGACTCTCCTCCACAGAGTCCAGACCACATTCACTCAGCCGCTACATGCTGGAGTTTGGCTCTACATATGTGGAAACTCTGCAGAGCTTTGTAGACTTTAATAAATCTTTGTTTTATATTACTACTTGCTGTTCATAATCAGGGCAATTTGAAAACTTTTAAGTTACAGCTAATTAATTCCATATGAAAAAGAGTAGGGGCATAGTGGTATGAGATGAGTGCCTTTCTATCCTATAGAGGCCTTAAAGCTGGGCGTACACTGTGCGTTTTTTTTCAGTCGTTGCACGCAGCTGCTGTTGACACTGTATGACTAACCGCAGGGTTTCGTTGTACAGTGTGAGTTCACAGCTTATGATTTATGTTTGGCCCAATGCTCTGATGCGGTCTACCTGCTCACACTTAACGACTAACATCACGTCTGACTCAGGTCTGCAGTGAGATAGAGCTGCTCTCTAGCTCTCTATCCTGAAGCCAAACAAATAGTAGGGGAATATTAAGCTCACTATAGTGAAACACGCTGCCTTGGTAATTTGTGAAATTTTGTGCTGAAAGCCCTAAAAAGAAAAGGCGACGACGTAGTTGGAAAAAAGACATGTCTGAGCACACATGGCTACTACGGTCTGTCAATTTTACAGACAGAACTCCATTTCATTCATTGCATCCCTGCCATGCTGCTGTGTTTACAACTGAGAGGAAGAATAAAAAGAAGAATCCTTCTTTGCGCCCTGAGCGATTAGCCCATGACGACCGCACGTGAGAGGCTGATCGCCCCTCGTTACCCCCTGTACACTGAACGACTCTCAATGCACAATCAGGCTGAAAGTCGGCCGGATTGAAAGATTCTCGCACGACTGGAAAATCGCCCCGAAAATCACACAGTGTAAGCCGGGCTTAAGACTGCAGTTTTAAGACCCCTTGTCACAGAATGCTCCCTGAGGGCTACTCATTGTCCCCTACTGGATGGATTTAACACAGATGACACATTTCCGCATTGTGGAACTTTAAACTATCTTTTTATTTTCATTTTTTAGATGAGATAAATTGTTTTCGAACTGGTTGTTCTATTTAACTGATGTTTTCATGAACTGAATAAAGGTGTGGTTTGAATGAACTAGATGATATATAATTTGCCAAATTAACTATAGCAGCGAAAAGATGTGTAACATTGCTCAATAAAGATGTAAAGATTTTCCTTTGTTCCGTCTTATTTATTTTCCTACACTTTAAATCAAATTCCACTATGATATTCAACCATTGCTCACATCATTGAGTTGAAGACAAATCCTGGTTTATCTTTGAATCCATACAAAATGTACAATTTGGCTTAAGCCTAACCCAATTTATCCAAGAACAGAAAAAAGCAAAACAATTTTTACATTTATTTTAGTAAAATATGACTTTTTGGATAGCAGTAACATTTCATAGGAAGGGGGAGGGGTTGCTGCGTGATGTGAAAATGAAGTGCAGCAGAAACTCTTAACATCCACATTATTTTGGGTAATCCTGGTCTATTTTGCATACCCAAATGGAAAAGCAAAAAACTTAGGAACTGTAAGCCCAAATTAAATAGCAATACATTATTTGAAAGCTAACACCCTCTAGTTTCTAGTCTGTGTTCTTGGGTGAGTAGAACACAGACAAAGCTGCATCAGTTCAAACATGACCCAAGGTTGTTTTTTTTTATATTCGGACATTCTTAAGAAAAGCCAGGTCTCATTGTATTAAATTTGTTCTACATCATGTCAAGCACAAATGCAGAACATTTAAGACCTCAGACCCGCGCAATGGCTCCACCCACAGGTGTCTGTGTTTCTAACACAAGCCTGTAATATGGTATCCCTTTAAATATTCTACAAACATTTGGGCTCGTTCAAAACCTTATTTCATTGGCTACAAAGCCAAACACCCTATGTGATTTAACCAATAACATCAGAGAATTAAAGGTCATCATAACGTGTATCACTGGCTGACAGTAAGTAAACCGGAAGTGAACAGGTGGTGAGATTTCAGGGACTATATTTCGTTTAAATCCAGTGTTGTCAGAAAATTTTGATTTATCTTCTATTATTTGTAAATGTATCCTATTTAATCACTATAAAAGTTTTCACTCAGTCTGTTTCACCTTCAAGGTAGCACCATTCTCTGCGGGATGGTGTTTGTAGACCAGAAATAGCTTCTTCCCATAACAAACCAGATTCTTTCTCAAGGTTTATTCATAACATTTTACTGTTTAACCAAAGTGTCTGTAATTTGTTTTGACTCTGACTACTTTTCCATTGTTGTAAGTGTTGGGATCCTGAGGCTTGCCCACCAGAGGGTGCTGAGGATCCTCTTCTGTTATATGTTTTCTGTTAGGGACTGCGGTTACTGTTGGGATCTGGAGATCTACCATCTGTCTCCAGCAGAGAGCGCTGTGGGTCTCCTGGGCTGGAGCCTCTAGCACACCTGAAGCTCATCAACCCATAAGGAGACCTTTCTACATAAGCGGCAGTCAGACCTTCGACGCCGCAGTGTTGACCAAGTTTGGTTAGCAAACCTAAGCCTCTGTAAATCTAGTGAATCACAGTAGACTCTAGAGAGGAACTGGATTCTAACATGCCTCTGTCTTCTTTACTCACAGAAAGCCTGATTGAAGTCTGAAGCTCTGGAAGAGCTTTGCCTGGAAACCTGCCTACCTGCCCAAGGAAGCCAAACCAGAAGATCTCAGTCTGGATTCCCCCTTCAGCTCTCAGGGAAGAGCTAGGAAACTAAACCCAAGTCTGAGACTCTCTAGCCAGAAGCTAGACGCTGCTGCTGCCGAGTTATCTGCTACTTCCACAGTCTCTGGACCCAACCGGTTCCCCTCTCTCAGAATTCTACTCACTTGTCAATCCATCTAACTGCCTGGCAAACCAAACCCTCATCTCTTCAAGATGTCAGTGAAACCAGACCTGCACCAGAACCAGTCCTCCTTAACTCTGTGTGTTGTCCTTAATAAACATTGTTAAATTTTCCTCTGTCTCCAGTTTGGTGTTCTGCATGTGGGTTAAGTCCATTAGCCAATCATGACAGTAAGTAAGGGGGAACTAACGCTGCTCATGCAGAACAGGGCTGAATGCTGTGCCATAAGGGCTGTATGATGAACTGTTCTCTCTTCGCAAAGATATGAATAAATGTGCCGACTTAGTGAAATCCATCGATCTCCGTTTATTTAACTACTATGAGTGTGTGAGTGGAGCTGGTCGGCAGTCATATGCTGGTCGGAGCTCCAAGCTTTCTTTCTGAAACAGAAACGAGACTTCCTTCTCGTAATATTACAACATTATTCTTGTGATGTTACAACTTTATTTCCATAATGTTACCACTTTATTGTCGTAATGCTACGACTTTATTCTCGTAATATTACTACTTTCTTCTTGTAATTTTAGCACTTTATTCTAAAAATGAAAAATAAAAAGAAATCTCTAACCTGGCCTTATACTCTGTCGTACAGTTAAAATATAATTAGCAGGTGCTATTTCTTTTATAAAGTATAACAACACAAGATGGAACCTAAAGATCTGGTAGTTTTTGGAGAGTTTACTGTTGTTAGCATCACTGCTGTTTATGTGCCTCACCAGCGCTAATTCAAAAGAGTCCATGAGTGTTGTGACTGATAAAACTGATAATTCTGTTTCCTCTTTCTGTGAAACAGTAGCTACTCTGTACTCGCATGTTCCCGTTTCTCTACTATTTACATGTGCTTTGTGAAAATAAGTTAATTAGCATGCTGTAAGAGCTGAAAAGCTTCATTCACTCTGCACAGCCAAATATTTTCATATAGACACAAATGCTTCTAGAAATACTTTGCCTGTGATAAGGAGGAAACACACAGTCGCTGGCAGTCAGGGGCGGTCTTACCATTAGGCAAACTTAGGCAGTTGCCTAGGGCCTAGTTCCTCGGGGGGCCCATAAAACTCCTTTTAGATGTATGGTTAACACAGCTTATTACTTATTTGTGGACATTAATTATGTTTTTGATGAAATTCCTTTTTGTTAAAATGCCATTAGGATGCTTATTATATTAAGTATGTCTCGGGGCTCCCCCTTCAGTGTCCACCACATTGGACCAGTCCATTTGCTGCGCATGTGCAGAAAGGTCGAAGATGGGCCATTTTAAAGTAAGTTTTGAATTTCGTTTGTATTTGCTAGCAGCTATCCCATTGAGCATTTTTGCTACAAATGATTAAAAAAAATCTATTTAGGTGCAAGTTATTACCAAGCTCTCGCTTTGCATTACAGTTTTATATTAACATTGCTTTAATGTGTGTTATTGTGTACTGCTGTGGATGTTGAGGGTCGAGTTAATTATAGATGAAACTAGTCTTAACTTTAAAGAAATACACTCTATACATTGCTAATGTGGTAAATGACTATTCTAGCTGCAAAGATCTGGTATTTGGTGCAATATTTACATAGGTGTATAGAGGCCCATTTCCAGTACCTATCACTCCAGTGTTCAAATAGTACAATGTCTTTGCTCATTGGCTCAGAAGGCTAATTGATGGTTAGAAAACCCTTGTGCAATCATTTTCACACATCTGAAAACAGTTTAGCTCGTTACAGAAGCTACAAAACTGATCTTCCTTTGAGTAGATTGAGTTTCTGGAGCATCACATTTGTGGGGTCAATTAAACGCTCAAAATGGCCAGAAAAAGAGAACTTTCATCTGAAACTCGACAGTCTATTTTTGTTCTTAGAAATTAAGGCTATTCCATGCGAGAAATTGCTAAGAAGTTGAAGATTTCCTACAACGATGTGTACTACTCCCTTCAGAGGACAGCACAAACAGGCTCTAACCAGTGTAGAAAAAGAAGTGGGAGGCCGCGTTGCACAACTGAGCAAGAAGATAAGTAGATTAGAGTCTCTAGTTTGAGAAACAGATGCCTCACAGGTCCCCAAATGGCATCTTCATTAAATAGTATCTGCAAAACACCAGTGTCAAAATCTACAGTGAAGAGGAGGCTGCGGAATTCTGGGCTTCAGGGCAGAGTGGCAAAGGAAAAGCCATATCTGAGACTGGCCAATAAAAGAAAAAGATTAAGGTGGGCAAAAGAACACAGACACTGGACAGAGGAAGACTGGAAAAAAGTGTTGTGGGCGAATTAATCCAAGTTTAAGGTGTTTGGATCACAAAGAAGAATGTTTGTGAGACGCAGAACAAATGAAAAGATGCTGGAAGAATACCTGACGCCATCTGTTAAGCATGGTAGAGGTAATGTGATGGTCTGGGGTTGCTTTGATGCTGGTAAGGTGGGAGATCTGTACAGGCTGTCCTGGAGTGGCCTAGCCAGTCTCCAGATCTCAACCCCATAGAAAATCTTTGGAGGGAGTTGAAAGTGACAGCGACAGCCCCAGAACATCACTGCTCTAGAGGAGATCTGCATGGAGGAATGGGCCAAAATACCAGCAACAGTGTGTGAAAACCTTGTGAAGACTTACAGAAAACGTTTGATCTCTGTCATTGCCAACAAAGGGTATATAACAAAGTATTGAGATGAACTTTTGTTATTGACCAAATACTTATTTCCCACCATATTTTGCAGATAAATTATTTAAGAATCAGACAATGTGATTTTCTGGATTTTTTTTTTCTCATTTTGTCTCTCATAGTTGAGGTATATCTATGATGAAAATTACCGGCCTCTCTCATCTTTTTAAGTGGGAGAACTTGCACTATTGGTGGCTGACTAAATACTTTTTTGCCCCACTGTATATATATATATATATATATATATATATATATATATATATATATATATATATATATATATATATATATATATATATATATATATATATATATATATATTTTTTTTTTTTTTTTATATAATTCCTCTGAGTTATAGTGACGTAGACAAAATTAAAGTTGCATGACATCCTCAAATTTCTACTTTAGCAATTAAGTAAATATACTTATATTTAATCACTGGATAAAAGCCTTATACGGTGTTTTATGTGTGATTGTTTTCAGCATGAGACAGGGGTGACGGAGAGAATTCCAGAATGATCCGGCCAGACTTTCATAATGATGTTGTTCCACCAGACTGCGAGACTCCAGCATCATCCACTAAGCTAGTAAGCACTGTTCTTCTGGAAGATGACCCAGCACTCTGGCTAAAGAAGCTGTCTGATCAAGCATGCTGCTCGATAGCATGGAGAGGACCACTCT